TTTACCTAATAAAGATGAGTCCACTCGGTTCATGAACTCGCAAGTCGCAACCTAATACAAGAATTTATGTTTTAATTATCAACGATTGGTATATAAACCATAAAAAAAATCTCAAACTAAATAAACTGAAAAATGGCGCTAATTGTCCACCCATCATCATCTTCTCCATCTCTCACCACCGTTAAACGCTACCTCCGTCCCCACCGGAAGATCCCCAAATTTCTCATCAGGGCACAGAATGATCTTTCCACAGAAGAACCCAAGTCGGGCGCGGGCCCTTCTGCCAAGAAGCCCGGGAATTCATCACGAGGCCTGGGGTTCGGTTCACCAGCTGCAGCTTCGTCTCCAGCTCCAGCCAAGACGAAACAGTCCAAGGGAAAAAGAGAGCGAGCCTCCATTACTCGCCGTCAGCCAGTCGAGAAACCCAATTTCGCCACGCCTCAGCCAGCGGCTCAAGCCGAGGAGCTGAGGAAGAATGAGAGTTCTTTTCTTCTTGCTTGGTTGGGACTCGGCGCTGTTATTCTCCTCGAGGGCATCGCTTTAGCTGCTTCAGGTTTGCGTTTTAGACTTTGTTCTCAGGGAACGTTAATTGGAAACTGGAATCCTCGATTGATAATTAAGTTGCTGTAATTTGGTTAGAAGCTTAGAAGCACTTGAGATCTAATGGAATTCTGTCAATGTGGAGATTGGAAGATTCAACGAGATACCATTTTGTAGGCTTAGTTATATTTTGCTAGTTTACAATCTTTCCCAACTTACTATGATGGAGCGCGTAAGAAGAGAATAAGTAAAGTTTGCTTGAAAGATGATAGGTCTCTCTATGCCTTTCAATAATCGAGATGAAATATGTCACTGCGAGTTGGATAATTAGAGGTAGTATATTGCCAATTGTTTCCAATTGATTTTAGAATGTAACCCAAGACTCGGCCCCTCCAAACTACCGATATATGTTTCATATATGCCAATTCTAATGTGATCCTAACAAGCTGAATATAAGATGCAGTGTTAGTTTCTTGGCAGATAATCTAATAGAAGAGCAATTTAGCTAGACTTTATGGGGCCTTTAAGAGTTGCGTTGTTACCAGCTTCTGCAAGTGCTGATCATTATAATATATAGTATAGTATGTATGAATATCTGACATGGGATCATTCCCGACATTTGAGTTATGAAGCTATATAATTGTTGGATTTCTGCTTTGTACTTAAAAAATCTTGTCAATTGACCGATCTTGCATTTGATAAAGTGGAGTTTCAGTTATGCTTTGCATATGCCATCGAGTTCAGTACAAATAAAGAAACTTAAGCATGATACAGCCGGGTGGTATTTTATAAGATTCATGAATCATGATGCAGCATAGAGAACTGAAATTCTTTTCTGCACTTGTTCTTTTAGGTATTATTATTCGGAGGAAGGTTTAAAACTAATGGGTTGTAAATCTAGAATGATTAAACGGTCATGTTTATTTGGAGAGTGGAAGTCAAGTTCTTTAGGTCCATCTATGAGCTTTTATAGGGTCACTTTTCTGAATTTCCAAACATGTTGTCATTTGATATTCTACCCTCAAATCCTCTCTCAAATTCAGATCACCCCTTCCAAAAGCCACCTTAAAGAGTATCCAAGTTACAGATCCTTAAGTTTCTCAATCTTTCTTTATGTTGGCTCCAGGAGTTAAAATTAAACGTATTTAATAAAATAAAAGAAACAGCACATTTTGTAGTGGTGGGTTTATTGTGCATTTACTTGTTGCAGCTCTAGGAGAAGAAGACATATCCTGGATAGGTGCTTATTTTGTCAAATTACACCCAAGGCCCAAGGGTACCTGAGCCTTGGAAAAACTAATAATCCAAATATGTGTTCAACTAGTGAAAATATCATCATTGTAAAAACTTTAACTATTTAAGATAGGGGAACTTACCACCTATCTCTTGCATCAAACGGTAATGTGATTAGTTTGTCTTCTTATGATTATGTACTGCTATTCTTCCAATTTTCTTACAAGTCCATTGTATGAAAATGAGTGTATCGAGCATATAACGGATATCTATTCATTTTTTTGTAGCATATGTTTTGACTTCCTCAGTATCCTGCTTGCAGGTTTTCTTCCAGAAGCATGGGATAACTTCTTTGTCAAGTATCTATACCCAGCTTTCACCCCAACTGTCTTCTTGTTTGTTGCTGGCACAGTTGCCTATGGAGTCTTAAAGTACTTGCAGAATGAAAATTCTAAAAACGAAAACTAAACCTGCCATGCAACATTGAACCAATTTTATATCTGTTCAAAAAGAGGTGGATATAGGTTTGCTTACATTATAACTTGTCTCTGAATTGGCTGTGTCTTGTATTGTCTTCTTTAGTCGGAATGAAAATTCATTTGTGCCGAGTTTTTTTTATCATATTTCACCCTGAAAGAAAGAACTTTAAAAGATATATCTCAATAATAGTGTTAAATTTAAGGCAAACGAAAACTATTCATTGAGAAAACTACAAGCACACCATTGATGTATTTAAAAGAAAACTACTCATTGTACATTAGTTTTTTTTATGATTTGTACAATATTAATTTCTTGTACTTTAAAAGGAAAACAAGTTTGCACATGGATTTGGTTACCCGACCCACAAGGATCTTCAAATAAACTTGGTTTCAAAAGACGAGCTTCCTTGGTAGCTTTTCAGATAAGTGCATTGAATCTTTTTTTCCAACTACCTTATCTAATTTTACCATACTCTTTTATTATATAAACTAACTTTTCAGCCATAAGCTATTGACGATAGACTCGAAATTCGCTTAAAACCTATAAGCTAAGTTATCAATTAAGTTTATTAAACATAGTCATAATGATTCCACCAATTTATTTATAGGTTTAGATTGCTTTTTAAATGTCTGTCATTTGTCTTCTTTTGCAATTATTTATCATGTCAACTGCACTCTCTAATCTATTATCCCTATATTTTTAGCTATAAAAAAATACGAAATAAAATATGGATTTTAATACTTTGATCTATTTGTTTGTTAAAGAGAAGGTAAAAATTAAGTCGAGAAGAAAGACTAATGGAAGGTAATTTTGGAAGTATTCATAAAATAGGAATAGACAGAAATGATTTTGGTTGGTGAAATCAGGAAAAAGAGTAAAGGAAAGTTTCCTAAAAGACTTTAAAAATTTAGATACGAGGACATGTGAAATGGTAAAAACTAAAACAGAATTCTATTTTTTTTTTCGGAACGATGATAAATATTATTACTAAAAGAGTAAAATTATTACAATTACTGACCTCTCCTTGGGATTACACAGATGACCAAGGGGACTAGACAAACACAAACATACAGCAACAAGACACAAAAACAAAGCTCCCAAAGGGAGACAACACCACTCCAAATGGAGATCAACCACTCCCATAAGAGGAGACCAACGGCAACAACAAACTAAAAAGAACACAAAAAACACAAACAACATAAACAAAACACGGAACGAAGAACTTAATAAAATAGAATAATACCTCTCCGACTACTCGCCACACGACAAATGATACACAACCCAACCCATTGACGAGTCTCCTAAACTAAAATAAAAAAGAGAACTATCTATCTAAAATCCCCAGATCTGAAAACTCCGGACTGAACTTGAACGGCTAGCCAGATCTAACAAGGAGAAAGCCTCGGGCCCAGATCTGAGCCCTCAAGAATCTTCAAGCCAGGAAAGAGGCAAAAAAACGAGAAAGACATCTCGAAGCCTCACCGGAGGAGCGGCAGTCGCCGTCCCGAGCCCAAGGCCGGAAAAAGAGGCGAGGCGAGGGAGCCCGACAAGCCCCTGTCTTCAGCAATAAAGGCTGGGCGGAGAGGAGAAAGCCACCGATCCCCAGCCCAGTCCATGGTCGGAGAGGTGCTTCACCCATCTGCACCGACGGAAGGAGGGGGGGCCGCTGAAAATTTTTAATTTTCTTCTACAGAGACTTTTGAGTTCTTGAGAGAAAGGGAGTCTCAGAGTCAGAGGTGACTTGGACTTGGCCTTTATACAAAAACTAAAACAGAATTCACATATATGTTAATGTAAAAGGTGAGAATGGGAAGGTTTGACTATCCAAACTGTAGGATCATGAATGTGTATCGATCAAACGGTTAAGAAAGTACAATCGGTCGAAAGGGTATGCGTACAAACAATCGGTCTGAATGATGGCACACAGGCAAATCATTCATAATACAAAACACTGTTCAAAACATAGTACACCAGAAGAGAATATGTAAATAAGAAAATCTTCATCCTCAGGAATACAACAACTATCAATGCTCGAATATCGAGGGTTCGATTAGTTCTATTGTATCTGAGTAATCGGTAACTCCAATTTTTCCATACAGCAACAATCTTCCCACAATTCTAACTGTGTGAAATTGCAACAGCAAAGAAAACCTAGTTTCCTTACAGGTGAGACAAAAATGAAACAGTGTCAAATCATAAGCAATAAATTATCTCAACATCGGTGTTTTAGCCAAACGAAGCACCATATTCAGACAAGTAAATCTCCTTCCCTCCCGGGTTCGTTTTTAATAAATTTCAACTGCTAATCCATTCCTCTCGACACGTATTTACATTTACATCCATGATCAAAATCCATTGAGCCACTCATTTTCTTCAAATCTTCGCATCCCCAGCAAAATTTGTTTTCCACCTTCACTGTCAACACCATGATCTCAAGATTCATCTGCTGACGTGGCATCTGACTCCCATTCAACCGTCTCATCACTCCTCCTGTTTGACTTTGACTCTCTCCTGTAGTTACTCCCTGCACGTACTCGCAAATTCTTATAATTCCCTTCTGCAAAAGTATTCTTTTTATTGTCATCATCATCATCAGAATCCCATTCATTGTCATCCATCTCCGAAAAATCCACATCAGCATCTCCAACTTCATCTTCATCCTCCCAATTCCTTTTCCTTCCAATACTCTCATCATCCGAGCCCTCGACTCTATTCATTTCGGGCCTAACGAATCTAAGCCCAAAATCCTCTCTGTTCCAATACCTAATCCGGTGAAGCTCTTCCTTCTCAGCCTCTTCTTCCATGGCCCACTCTTTATCGGCTGCATCTTCAATCTCCGCAATAAAACGGTCAAGCTCCTCTTGATCACTGTCCTCATCAACTTCTCCAGATTCTCGAGCCCGTTGGGAGACTTGTTCGGGATCGGCGGGCTTTGTTGTTGTTCTTGTCCGATCCTCACGAAAAACGTAAGGACTGCCTTCTCTTTTGTCGATGGCGTTGAAGAATGTGGAGGCCACTCGCTGGATACTGGCCATGGCAACTGGGTCGTCCGGGTTTACCCCTTTCCGGCGAAGCTCCTGCTCGGTTTTCTTTATGTTGAGCTTTTGGGAATCGAGGGCCTGTTCGAATCGTGCCTTGAAGAGTGCCTGCGTGTTAAAAGGAAGTTATACTTCTTTCTTGTTCGGGCATCTATTTAACAGAATATGTTCTTCNTTTTTTTATTTAAAAAAAAAAGGCAAAAATTCAACTTTAGTTCCTTTACTTGCCTAAAGTCCTTTTTTGGTACACTAACTTTCCCATCATAAAAAATAGTACATTATAGTACATTATGTTGCAATTTGTATCATTTTTGGCCCAAAAATGGTTCTTTAGATTGTGGGATTAATGTCCCAAAAATGATATAAATTGCAACACAACATACTATTTTTTATGTGTAATGTCCTAAAAAATTGCAACATAACGTACTATTTTGTATAAGAGGAAAGATAGTTAACCAAAAAAGGACTTTAGACAAGTAAACGGACCAAAATTCAATTTTTTTCCTTTTAGAAACTCTCTAGGGTGGGTCTTTTGTAATTAGTCTATATATATACCGGGGTAATCTTTTCCGAGTTAACCTTAGCAGAGATTATGTACAATAAAGAACAAAAGGTTAGCTAAAAAATGAAAATGAAGGATTATAAAAGAACCTTTCTTTTTGTTAAGGTATTGATAGGAATCAAATTCTTCGGCTGACGATAATTCCGGCCACGAAACATAATGATAGTCTTCCCGTTATGAATATTGACCACAATGCCCCCGCTCAATCTCGTCAGCATAGAAGCCATCTCCTTAATCTTTTCCTTCGGGAAATTGTCACAGCAAACTTGCACAGTCTCGTGGAACTTCCAGTGGAGGTGCATATTCTGAACTACCCCTCCAAAGACCCCACGAACGCCAACTGGCACATAGTTTTTGTTCTTGAATCCAATCTTTTTGTACGCCTGCAACTGCTCGGGAGTGAAAAGCTCCGGGTCATGGCGAGGGGATGGAAGCTCGGGCAGTTCATACTTCTTCAGCTTTTGAAGAAGTAAAGCCACTTTTTTCTTTGCCTGTTAGAGTCAAACACAGGAAAGCAAAAGTATGAAATGCAGTGGTGAAGATAAACGAACATCACAACTCAGAAAGAAAATTGGACAAACAAATGACTGAGCTGCAGCATTTAACTAATCCAATCCAATGGATTAACTAAAGATATCCAAAGGATTACTGCATAACATTTACATAAACAATTTAGAAAACAAAGTAAATATCCTGATTATTAGGGTTCATACCCTTCTGAGATTGTAGATAAGGCGTTCCTCATCAGTCATCAATTTCTTCCTCAGCTTTTTCGCCCTTCGAATTTCCCTGAGGGTTTTGCCCGACTCCCTTTGCATCCTTTTCTCCACTTTGCTCCTCATACTCTTGGCCGAAAAACAACGAGCTCCATTAAACGAACTCCACATCTTGCCAGAACTTACATCACAACTGCGCAAATTGACATTGTGTGCAGAGGTACTGCTTCTAGCTAGCACCTCCCTCCTTGAAAATAAAAATAAAATAGAACTTAAATAAGAAGCCTACATATATCGACTGTTTTTCTTACAAAAAACAAACGGAAATGGAAAAAGAAAGTACCTTTGGTTGAGGAGCATGTGGGAGAGGGTTCTGATGGATCGCCATGGAAATTTTCGACCGTAAGCAGACAACATTTTTATCAGAAACTCCAAATTAGGAGAGGCCGCTGTCAGAGTAGAGGTATTTGATCGGTAATGGAGATGAAGAGCAGGTTTTTCTCGAGTTGCAGTGAGCGTGAAGGGGGTTTGTCACTGGTCGGGGATTTAGCATGTTAGATTTATCACGGTTTCTCTTAATTACTAAAAGGCACTCATCTAATTCAAAACTTCAAATTGACCATCATGTAATTACAACCTAAATTTCAAAACTTTGCAGTTATAAACGAATCGAGTCGAATTCGAACTCTTAGTATTAGAACTCGGGCGTGAGCCTTTAACGAGTTGAGCACGAGCTCTAACGAATCGAGCTCGAGACGAGTTATAGAAAATTATATAAAAATCATATTATTTAGCTTTAACAAACTGAACTCAAATCGACTCGTTAACCAAACAAGCTAATATAATAATAATAACAGTTGATATGAGCTCTCGAATGACTCGTAACCTTACTCCACTTGCACAAAATTAATTCACACGTTTTCAAAAATGAAAAACATATTTTAAAAAAACAGTTTAAATTATAATTTTTTTTGTGTGAAAAACACAGTACCTTTTTCTACATTGTTTTAAAATTATCGTATTTCACCATGAAGAGAAAGAACTTTAAAAGATATATCAATAATAGTGTTAAATTTAAGGCAAACGAAAACTACTCATTGAGAAAACTTCAAGTGGATTCACACCATTGATGTATTCAAAAGAAAACTACTAATTGTACATTAGTTTCTCTTATGATTTATACAGTATTAATTTCTTGTACTTTAAAAGAAAAACAAGTTTGAGCATGGATTTGGTTACCCGACCCACAAGGATCTTCAAATAAACTTGGTTTCAAAAGACGAGCTTCCTTGGGTAGCTTTTCAGATAAGCCCATTGAATCTTTTTTTTCAGCTACCTTATCTAATTTTACCATACTCTTTTATCACATAAACTAACTTTTCAACCATAAGCTATTGACTATAAACTCGAAATTCGCTTAAAACCTATAAGCTAAGTTATCAATTAAGTTTACCAAACATAGCCATAATGATTCCACCAATTTATTTATAGGTTTAGATTGCTTTTTAAATGCCTGTCATTTGTCTTCTTTTGTAATTATTTATCATGTCAACTGCACTCTCTAATCTATTATCCCTATATTTTTTGCAATAAAAAATGCAAAATAAAATATGGATTTTAATGCTTTGATCTATTTGTTTGTTAAAGAGAAGGTAAAAAATTAAGTCAAGAAGAAAGACTGAAGGGAGGTAATTCTGGAAGTCTTCATAAGATTGGAATAGATAGAAATGATTTTGGTGGGTGAAATCAGGAAAAAGAATAAAGGAAAGTTTTCTAAAAGACTTCAATGATTTACATATGAGGACATGTGAAATGGTAAAAACTAAAAAGGAATTCACATATATGTTAATGTAAAAGGTGAGAATGGGAAGGTTTGACCTATCCAAACCGTAGGATCATGGATGTGTATAGATCAAACGGTTAAGAAAGTACAATCGGTCAAAAGGGTATGCGTACAAACAATTAGAGGATAGAAAGTGAACGAGAAAATGAATTGAAGAAAATCTGACTTCATGCCTATTTATGACTTTCTTTCTTTATGCACACACAAATTTAGCAGCATTGAGATGAACTTTTCGCAAGCAATAAAAACAAATTTCTAAGATTGGGAACCAGGCTGCTAAATCCCGAATGAAAAGACTCCAAGGAAATAAACGAATATGATTAACCCCAAGGCACTTGAAAATGCCCCAAAGCACTTGAAAATGCCCCAAGGCCAAAATAAACGAATATGATTAGCCCCAAGGCACTTGAAAATCACGGTTTTTAGTTAAAAAACACACAGCATAAAACTAATTTTTCCAAATAATTTTATGAGGCCTACAACGAAATATTCAGAGGCATACAACAAAATATTCAGAGGCCTAAAACATAACATCTCAAGAACATTCTCAACAAATTCAGGAGACCCGAAAAGTCGAACCTTAAGCACAATGATATTCTCCAATTTTTCTAACGAATTTAAGGGAGATAAACGATGCTCACAAATGACTTCAAGGCAATTATCCGGCCATTTAAAATTCTAAGAAAAAAAACAATCACCAAGTTTCAGAGGTTATACTACGTCTTTCGAGAATCCAACATCAACTCATCAAAAATCAATTAACGTGCTTTTATTCTCAAGTCCAATAAAAATCTCTACCTCATGAACGTTAGCCCTATGATAAATCCTTCACAAATCATCTCTGAATATTAAAAGGAGGTTAAGCCATATACCTCCTTCGGGGAATTAATTGAGATGGCTGAAGGAGTTCGGATAAAGGGTCTCGGTTCTCCCAGCTGCTATCACTCACACGCGGCTCCCGGTTCACGGCTCTCGCTGCTGCTCATGGAAAATCGGCCGGCAATGGATTCCCAACAGTTGCTGCTCGATGGGACGAAATCGGGCGACTGAGTAGGATTGACGGGACTCCGGGCGGACTGCTGCGAATAGGAGGAACCGGCGTGGCTCGTCGGTAGAAGGTCACCGGCGAAGTACTTCCCTCGACGAGGGCTGACGAACGATCGGGGCCTGCTACTCGCTGGTTTGGATGTCTACTCAATTCACGCAACAATCGGTGTTGAAGGAAGGTCTCCGGTGAAGGGTTGCTGCTCGTCGGTCAAAGCACGAGTCGGCTGACAAAGGCGCTGTTATGGTGAACCGCCGGCAAAGAATGACGGGTCGCTTGTTTGCTCAGATTTAAAAAAAAAAAAAAAATTGTTCAATTTATCATCAAAGGCTTTGACGATTTATATGTTGAAGGAATTTGGAAAATTATTGGGAATTATCGCTGCTCTTATCTGGTTGAGAGAGGGAGATTGGGAGAAGGTGACCAAAGGGCAGTGATTTGAAGGAAGAGAAGATGGAGTTCTACTCGATGTAGTGGCGTGAAATAGGTGTAAGGGCTGAAAATATTTTAAGTTTTAACTCTTGGGCTGAGACTCTATTGCAATTGGGCCAAAAAATTCTTAATGGACTAAAACAAATACTAAGGCTCGCGGCGGATTTAAAAGAAATAAAGACATTCTTTATCCCTTGTGAAAAACTGTTTACCTTAATGCATCTATATCTATATAAATATAACAAGGTTTGGTATTTACCTGAAATAGAAGGAAAAATCCTGCCTAAATAATTCGTTTTTACCTTTCATCGTAAATTTTCTTAAAAAATTTTGAAAATGGGCGGTTGTTTTTTACAATTTAAATTTACAAAGTCAATTTAACATCTCTACAAAATCCATTAAGTCAACAATTGCGGCTCACGTTTGTTTCATAAAACTTGTCCGAGTTAATGGATTTTGTTAACTTCATGGATTTTGTAGAGATGTTAAATTGACTTTGTAAATTTAAATTGTAAAAAACAACCGTCCATTTTCAAAAATTTTTAAAAAAAAAATTACTATAAAAAAAGGTAAAAACGAATTATTTAGGCGGGATTTTTCTTTCTATTTTAGGTAAATACCAAACCTTGTTATATTTATATAGATATAGATATAGATGCATTACTGTAAACAGTTTTTCAAAAGGAATAAAGAATGTCTTTATTTCTTTTAAATCCGCCACGAGCCTTAGTATTTGTTTAGCCCATTAAGAATTTTTTGGCCCGATAGCAATAGTCTCGGCACAAGAGTTAAAATATTTTCAGCCCTTACACCTATTTCACGCCACTGTTGGGATCTGTGAGGATCTCGTTATGTACAAATCACGAATTCAATAGCAAACGTAAACCTATGCGCAGCGGATCTAAAGGTTTGACGTAGAGAACTTACGGCTTAAAATTTATGTAGATCTGGCTGACCACGAACGGTTGACCGCAATTGATTGACCGCAAATCACGTCTTTGATTGCACGAACAAGATCAGATCAAAATCGGATCAAACGGATGCAAACAGATCAAAACAAATTTTTGCAGTCAGGCTCCTTCCGGCGGCGCGTGAGGGCGCGTGCGGCGTCGGATTCCGACGACGTTGGCGGCGATGGAAAGCTCTCGTCGAGACGGTCGTCTGGGTATACTGTACGTCTCAATCGGACTTCCGGTTAGTTCTGTAGGTCAAAATATATTTCGTCTCGGTTTACCTACAGATCTTCTACTGTATTACTCAATACACCCTTCTTCAACTTGTACCAGTGGAGCAACAAGAAGAAGATAAAGCTCGAATGAGATCTAGAGAGAGAGACGTGTTTCACGTGAGATGTGAACTCTATTCCCTTCTCATGAGCTTAATGATGTATATATAGAGCTACAGTAGGGACCCTAAGAAGATTAGGAAAAGGACTCCTTAATTAATTAGACTAACTGTGGGCCAAGCCCACTCCTCTAATTAATTAAATAATATTAATGGGCCACCAACATTATATTATTGCACTCCCTCTTCCTAGCCCAAATTACATTTGAGACTCCAATAATAATTACTCGATTTACCTCCCCACGTTTAAGATATAATGTCCATTAATTAATTCGATTACTGACAATCAAGAATTAATTAATTTATTATTATTATTTCACCGAAGCTAGCGCTCGTTCATCACATTCTTATTATGCCGGAACTTAATCCACCTGCAGGGTTTAGCATAGCAATCCTTCATGAACTCACTCCGGGGACATCATCAAACAAACGCACATGGTGACCGTAAATATCCTAACAGCACTAATATTACCCAAAACAGTAGGAATATTAATCCAGCGAACTGAACCTCACCCATGTGAATCAAAGTAATATAAATTATATATATCTGCCTGTTTAATATCTTACGGGTTAAGAGAACGCAGTAATTAACCGAGGCCTAGTTCATTTACGACGATCAGTATAAAATGAATTTCTCCTCTCTGGGATCCTGTTCAATACATAAATGTACTAGCGCAACTAATCAGTCAAGACAAACTGTACAGTTGACACTACAACCGTTCGGATGGGGTGTTCATGTCCATCTAGGTTGTGAACAACTATTCTTGTTCGCAAATAACTGATAGAGTGATCTTCGGTTCGCCCGATGACGACCCACCCTATCTAAGTGCAGAACAACAGAACGTAGAACTTGTTTAATCTAACATGATTCTCATTCATAAAGGGTAAATGTGTAATATCATGCAAAGCCAAACTTTCAGTATATAACACTAACAGCCACTACATCGAGCAGAACTCCATCTTCTTTCCCTTCAAATCGCACCCTTTGGTCACCTTCTCCCAATCGCTCGTCTCCCTCTCTCAACCAGATAAGAGCAGCGATAATTTCCGATAATTCTCCAAACTCCTTCAGCATATAAATCGTCCAAGCCTCGGGTGATAAATCGAACAATTTTTTTTTTTAAATCTGAGCAAACCAGCGACCCGTCATCCTTTGCCGGCGGTTCACCATAACAGTGACAAAACGCCTTTGTCAGCTAACTCGTGCTTTGACCGCCGAGCAGCAACCCCTCACTGGAGACCTTCCTTCAGCACACCGATTGTTGCGTGAATTTTGAGTAGACATCCAAACCAGCGAGTAGCAGGCCCCGATCGTTCGTCAGCCCTTTCTCGTCGAGAGAAGTACTTCGCCGGTGACCTTCCACCGACGAGTCACGCCGGTTCCTCGTATTCGCAACAGTTCGCCCGGAGTCCCGTCAATCCTATTCAGTCACCCGATTTCGTCCCATCGAGCAGCAACTGTTGGGAATCCATTGTCGGCCGATTTTCCATGAGCGGCAGCCGAGATTAGCGCAACAGAAGTCATAAGCGAGACCCGTGAACCGGGAGCCGCGTGTGAGTGCTAGCAGCTAGGAGAACCGAGACCCTTTATCCGAACTCCTTCAGTCGTCTCGATTAATTCCCCGAAGGAGGTATATGGCTTAACCTCCTTTTAATATTCAGAGATGATTTGTGAAGGATTTATCATAGGGCTAAGGTTCATGAGGAAGGCGTCGTTTACTTCCCTGGACGGGATTAGATATCTAAATTTGTCACACCATTCGTTCATGAGGAAGGCTAAGGTTCATGAGGAAGGCCGGATTTTTTTATCCCGTTTTTATAAATCCCATTTTGTCTTCAGAATTGCATTTGAAAAGACATAAATACCCCTCAAGTTCCATTTATTTACAATCCATTACCATATAAAAATTGAAAATCCCTCACTTTGTGAATTGCAGACAGAGACGAAGGAAGATTGGCAAAAAATTGGCAAAATCAAATCCATCTCTGTACACCATTTGCACACCATTTCAGGCAGTCTATAGATACCCATCCCGTCCACTATCATCAGCATATATACAATCCCAAAATTAATAAGCCACAGAATTCACAGAAACTATTTTTCCCATCGGCGAATAAAATAGATGAAAAAGGGGTAACCTGAAATCCCTTCAGCCTCGTCGTGCTCGTCAAATGAGGGTGGAGTGTTTTACGTTTCAGTCCCTTCGTTCCCCTTGTTGCCCCCGACCACCGGCGAGAAATCTTCTTCGGCCTCGTTCGGTTATGAAGGATCAATTAGCTAGGGCAACAATTTGAGGGCTGCAACAGAGAAGATAATTGATATGTTTCGATTTTTTTATAAGGGATATTTTTGTCAATATGTATTTATCATATCAGTTTATCAAGGTAGTAAACAACTGACAGGATTTCGGATAAATTTAATTAGGGCTGCACATTCGGTCAAAACCAAATCGAACCGACAGAAAATCAAAACCGAAAACCGAACCAAAAACTATGGTTCGGTTCGGTTTCAAACCGAAAATTTATCGGTTTTTTCGGTTCGGTTATCGGTTATCCGACAAAATGGAAAAATGACAAAAATATAATTTACAAATAACAATAGATACTAACTTAATAATGTTACCAAAACACACTAAAATGCATAAGAAAAAAAAAAACGTGCAGGAAGGTTAGAATTACTAACTCGGTTTTGCTCAAAATTTGAAAAACAAGGGATGTTGTTGTTAAGTGGAAATACCAAACACAAGACTACTGCAAGAAGAAAATTCACATAGAATCTTCAACATATCAATAATTTAGAAACCCACTAACGACAACCGTTCAGTAGCAGCTTGCTCAAATCAATGAATCACAGGCACAAAAATTCACCAAAAATAAAACACGAGCTTGAATTGGGTGGGTGCAGCCCGTAAGATGAATCACGAGTTAAAGAAAAGAAAATTACGAATCTGCGTTGCAGCCCGTACGAGGAGATTGGGTGGCGAACTCATTTGAGAAGACAAGCGTCGCAATCGAGAGCGGCCTGCCGAGTGTGTGCGGGAGCAGGAGCGACCGAGCGAGGGCCGAGGCGATTTGGGATTTCAGAATTCAGAGCGCGGCAATTTGGGAATTCCGACTTCAGGCGCCGACGCCGAGCGATCGGAGATGGAGTGTATATATGCGTGCGCCGTGCGGCAGACGGGCGGAGAAGATGGTAGCCGTAGGTAGGGTTTTCGGCTTGTCTCAGGAAGATGAAGATGAGTGTTGTAATGAGCCTGTGAGTGACGATTCTGTGAGTTAATGTGACAGATTGCATAATTGATATCGGCTCGGCAGTCGCAGATGAGTGATAAATCATTTAATTGGGCCTTCTTTGTGGTGGGCGGCCCGTGTACTTTTGGGCCTGGGTTAATATAAATAATATAGGGAAATTTATATAACTGTCCATTGTACACAAAAAGAGTATAGAAAAAAACCACTCCATAAAACATTTATAAAATTAGTAGGTTGTTCATTAAAATACAAGAAAACAATAACTGCTATCTGATAATCCCATATCAGTTTATGCATGTTTGAAACTGTAAAACTTAGTGCTTAATTGATTAATTCCTATTTTTAAGGTGACAATTTCAATGAATGAAAATTCTTAAGAGTTATTGAAAACAAAAAAAAACACAAATACTCATCAATCCGCTATTNTATATTTAAATGCTAACAACAAAAGAAAGTAGTAATTTTAAAAGACCTTTGTTTCTAATCAATTCAGACTTTTTATTTTGTCCATTGCATTACTATTATTCTATTTATTTCTTATTCTATCCATAAATAATATTTTATTTGTCAAAATAATTAGAGAACATTTATATGTATATTGCATCATTCTTTGTACGTGTTTTATATAATGTTGTTGTTATCAAAATATCCTATTTCTTAGGCTACAACTAATATCACATAAGATAAAATACTATCTATTGTTAATCACTTATAATAATTTATACAAATTATAAGATTAACATTTTTAGGATTTTTTTAAATATTTGATAAAATATCAAGTAACTAACTCATTTTTATATTCACACAAAAATATGTTACAACCATTATGATGTTCCATTTCAAGCAGTAATTGAATAATAGTTTAGCATACAACTCATTTATTTTTTCTTTTAATTAACATTGTTAGTGTTGTAATAATTGTACACTTACATCCATTTTATACTTTTCTGTTAATATGAATATTTCAAATCTCTATAAGAAAAATATACCACAAAGTTATCTTATGTTACTTTATACTTAATAAACTCAATTTTACATTGAATTATAATATATTTTATAAGATACTCTTAGGTCCATTTCTTATTTTAAATTAATATTGATGGATATATATATATATATATTATTTTATACTGATAGAATAATTATATTAATTTCTTTTTATTTACAATAAATTGGTCAAATCAAACATCATTGAAAAGACATGATAAGATAGGGTAACAAATAAACCAAAAATCATATGAATTTTAAATTAGAAAATTTTAAGGGTAGAAATTGATTAAATATTTTAACTCAAAAGAATATATATAGGGATTGGTTCCAATGCATCCACTTATTTAAAGTGTGGACGTGAGACTCATTCCTAGCTACAAGATTTGGTACATCATGTGTGGCCAAGATTTACTCTTTTTTTTATTATTTTAATTATTTAAATATTATTTTGACCCGTTGACTCCGGCATTGACCGTTGACTTTCGGCGAAAATCGTTGATTTCCGGCGTTGACCGTTGACAACTAACCTTCCAACTAGGTTAGTTCTCTGTAGTTTCTAGTTTTATTTTTATTTTTATTTATTTATTTATTTTTTTAATGAAACAACGCCCCGGAAGGGCGGGGGATTGAGTTGGATCCCCAACCTGTGCATAGATCAGAGCCCATAATGTCAACGAACAAGATACAAAAGTCTCTGGAGTCTCACAATCAAAGTGAAAAACAAAAGAAAAACAAAAAAGAAAAACCGAAAAACGAAAAAGAAAGAAAAACTACAATATAAAGCCGATCTTCGGGCTAACAGATGCCCGAAATAAATGTCTAAACTAATGAAAACAGAAATCCTAAACTACTGAAAGCGGAACGCTGGATATCCAAACTGGTCCATCCGTACAGGAGTGTGAAGGCGGAGTGGAGCAGTGTCGATCTGGAATGTATGTGTGCCTGGTATGGTGGCGCCAAGGTTGTCCAAGTAATCAGCCGGTCTGTTCCCCTCACGGAAAATGTGCGTGATCCTGTGATGGACTGACCGAAGTAGATCTCTAATGCGCATAAGCGGGTGCTGAATCTGCCACGAGCCCTGATGGTCCAAGGTCAAAAGGGTGGCTACAGCCGCAGCGTCTAGCTCGATCCAAATGTGGCTAGAGAGGTGGACAGCAATCTGAAGGCCGATTTGTAATGACTGAATCTCTGTATCATAGCTCGAGGAGGCCTGAAGGGACGCGTGGAAGGCGGTGATGAGGGCGCCATTATGGTCCCGGATCAAGCCTCCTCCTCTGGCAACTCCAGTGTGGCGATCAAATGAGCCATCAGTGTTCAGCTTGACCCACGGAGAGTCAGGTCGAAGCCAAACAACAGCTCTGGGTCGAGGGTGCCGAACAGGCGGTGGTGGGGCCACCATGTAGCGATGTGGAGGCGTGCAGCCTGTCCAGTCTCGGGCCGTGAGCCTGCCCAATGAATGAGGAGTGAAATGTGTCTCTCTACCTGCAAAACAATGTGAGAAAACATAAAAGTATATCCCTATGCTTCGCATTATTCCTTTCTGTCCAGGTGAACCAAATGATCAGACAAGGAATGAGGAAGCCCACGTGTCTAAGGTGTGTGCTCTGTGAGAAAAAACTCAGGAGCTCAAAAAAACTGTATGTGGTGAGTAGGGATATATGTGTCCAAGTGGCAAAATGCTCCCACACTCTCCTCACAATCTCAGTCTCTAGAAAAAGGTGGGTAAAGGTCTCGGTCTCATGGCGTCCAGTTTCAGAACAACACACACACCGAGAGGGGAAGGAGATCCCTCTCGCGTGTAGCACAGTATCGACGGGTATCCGGTGCAAGAGGAGGCGCCAAAGGAACACCGAAATAGTAGGGGTGAAAAGGTCACTCCAGATGGCCCCAAAGAGAAGATTAGGCCGATCCCTCAGTCTGATCTGCTCCCAAAACGAGGTAGTAGAAAACACACCCGATGATGTAAGTCTCCACCTCATGCTATCTGAACCGTCTCCCGAGATAGGGATCTGCTGGATCTGATCTAATAAATGCCCGCTAAAACCCGCACCAGACCCCAACTCCCTATCAAGCTTCCCCATATCCCACGACCCGTCCGACCAGAGGTCGCTCACAAGCAGGTAGGGGGAATGTGACACCTGCATATCCCTAGATAACGGCCTATCACCTACCCACCACTCATCCCAGAAACTAACATCGCCCTCGCCTAGCACTCAGAAAATGTGATTCTGGGCGCGCCTACCAACCCTAGTAAGGCGCCGCCACTGCCTACTATCATGATCAACAGCCGTCACCCAACAAGGGTGGTTGGCACGTCTAGGGCAGTACTTACCGCGAAGGTACTGAGCCCAAAGCGACTTTCCTTCCCTGAAGCGCCACCACAACTTGAATGAGAAGGCTGTAACAATGTCCCTGAGGCGGCGGATGCCAAGTCCACCCTCGGGGAAGGGTCGACAGATGGAGTCCCAACTCACCCAGTGGGTATGTCTCCCCCTCCCAAAACCGTCCTCGTAACCCCAGAAATAATGAGTCATAATCTGGTCTATCTCGTCAAGAGTAGACCTAGGGGGGTCGAGGACCATAAGCAAGTGAATCGGAAGAGAGCTAAGAGTGCTCTTGATCAGCGCAAGCCGACCACCGAAAGAAAGATGTCTATGCGACCAACTAGAGATCCTGTCGATCATCCTCTGCCTGACGCCCGCAAAGAGCGCTCTCGTGAGGTTGCCCTTATATAAAGGGACGCCAAGGTAGGTAATCGGAAGGTCGCCACGCGTAAAGCCAGTAATGTCGTGGACCCGCTGAGCCCACCTGACCACGTTGGAAGAGGAGAGGGTGAATGTGCTCTTCTGCACAAATTCACAAATAAATTATATACACAATAAATTCACCAAATCACATATAAATTCACAAATCACGAATAAATTCAAAAATTCAACATATCTCAAATAATTCGAAATCCTAATTCACAAATAAATTCACAAATTCAACATATCTCAAATAATTC